TTCCACTTTTAATACACAAACTTTCAAGGAAATTTAAGACACCAAAAAATCTCAAATTCAGGCAATACAAAATTTGTAATTTTTTTTTTTTTTGCAAATTATTTTACGAGTTTTTCTGAATTTTGTCCCTTCATTTGAGATTTTTTTTTTTGCCTTAAATTTCGTTAAAAATTTGTGTCTTAAAAGTGGATCTGGCTGTAAAGTTTACCTTTATTTCAATCATTACAAAATGGAAATTGTATTGTGACCCTAAAAATATTAACAATGTCTCGAACTAAAACCTTTTTATTCTAAATTAAACTGAAAAATGAACCTAATAAATTATAGGGTTTGATACTGCAACCAAGGTCTATAGCCAGCTGATTGGTAATATCATGATTGACGCACTCAGTTCTGAAAAATATTGGCATTTCATTAAGGTCATGGGAAGGTCTGCAAGCCATGTAGCCTTAGAGTGTGCACTTAAGACCCACCCTAACATGGTCTTGATCGGGGAAGAGATTGAGAAGCAAAACAAAACCTTAAATGATGTAATTAATGACATTTGTGATTTAATTGTGGAAAGGAGCAAAAAGGGCTTCAACCATGGTGTCTTGATCATCCCAGAGGGGCTGGTTGAATTTATTCCAGAGTTCAGTATTTTAATCAACGAAGTGAACAAAATCGTTAAGGAAAGCCCCGAAAGAGAAGAAAGATGGACAAGAGAAGAGATGATCGAAAAATTAACAGGAAACTCCTTGAAATTATATAGCGGCCTCCCAAAGGGTATCGCAAGCGAATTGCTGTATTCTAAAGATTGGTGTGGCGATATCTCATTAAGCAAAATCGCAACAGACAAATTGCTGAAATGGTCGTGTAAAAAGGAATTGAAAAAGCGCGAATTCAATAACTTCAATTGTATGACCCATTTCTTTGGCTATGAGGGAAGATGCGGCTACCCTTCAAACTTTGATAGTGACTATTGCTACGTACTTGGCAACACCGCAGGGAGATTCATCGAAGCCGGTGTCACCGGTGTAATGTGTGGCGTCAACGGCACCTGGAAATCGACTGACGAATGGATCCCATTTGGAATGCCATTCCCAGAAATGTTTTTAATGCAAAAAAAGAAAGACAAAATGCACCCCCAAGCCAAAAGAATTTTGGTCGACCTTGAAGGCGCCCCTTTCAAAACCTTATTGAAATACCGTGAAATTTGGAGACTCAATGACGACTATTATGCAATTGGACCAATTCAATTCTCTGGGGATACTAAGGACGAACGTTCAATTACCCTCTTGTTAGAACATAACAATAAAAAAAATTGGATGGACAAAGTTAGAGAAAAACTCGAGCAAGACGAATTTTAAAAACAAAATAGCTTATCTTTGAATACTTTTTTATTGGATTATCACAAACCCCTTTTATTCTACTCACATTGTTTTTCATTTTATTTTTTTATTTTTTATTATTTTTATTTTATTCTCTTAAATATAAATCTCTTTTGTTTTGATTGATATTTTTTTTTTTGTTTTGATTTGGTTTTTATTTTACAGTACGAGGGCTTTTTAGCTCACAGTATAAGATTAAATAGAAGGCACAAAATAATCAAAATAATGCAAAAAAAAAAAAAACAATAACACATAAAAAAAGGTTTGGCTGTAATAATGCATAATCCCGTTTTTTACTACAAACCAAACAATAGTCTAAAAAAAAAAGTATGTCTTAAATTTCAAGAATTGCCCCTTAAAATAAGATTTTGTTTGTCTATTATTTAAATAATTAGAGTGTGCGTTAATAAGTGCGTGGAATGTATTTTTTTTTTTTTTTCAGATTTATTTTTTGGATTTTTATTTTTTCTCAAAGCATTTTTTTTTTTTCATTCCTTTTTTTCTTCGTGTTGGAATAAACTTCTTGAAAGTGTTGTGAGATTGCGTGGAACGCTGTAGGGAGCAGATCCATGTTCTTTTTTTTTTTTTTTTTAACTCGAAGATTGTCTATAAAAGCTGGACTATTATGTGAATATTTCAGATAATTATCTTTTCTTAGGAAGTGGATCTATTTATAAATTGTTTAAATAAAATTAAGTAAAATATTAATACTGATTAAACCAAAATAGTATTATGGTATTTATTACAAAATAAACACCCTTTCACTTAAGGTTCTCCAGCCAAAAATGAAAAAGTCACATTATTTTTAAGAATCAACCAAACTTAGATTGTTTCGAAATAATAAAAATTTTATTAGTGGCTATAATCAACAAAGAAAAGCCTGGACAAACTATAAATTTCAAAAAAAAAAAAATGTTAAAAAAAATTTTTTGGGCACTTTTCATTGGAACATCTCGTGCAAAATTCTCTATTTCTTTAGGAAATTAAAATTGTTGACAATAAATTTTTTACTTGTAAATGTAGAAATGATAAAAGAACAAAGATAACCTAACTTTTCTTAAAGTTAATTTGGAGTTTTAAATATTTTTTTTTTTCAAATTTAATTTTTCAAAAAAAAATAAAAAAGAAAAGAAGAAAAAAAAAAAAATTTACAAAATGAGAAAAAATGAAACAATCCCAATGAAAAATTTGTAGTTTATTATTCTGATATTTGGTATTAATTTGTTATTTTGATAAAGAAAGGAATGGTTGTGCGAGTTTATTCACTTTAAAGTTCTGATCATTAAAATATGGAAAGTTTTTTTTTTAACATTAAAGTTGTCTGGCAATTTTCATTTTTTAGTGTTTCTGCATTCAGTAATAATTTATTTTATCGTGGGAATGTTTCAAAACTAAAGCAATATTTAAAGAGGCGTGTTATTATAGTTGTTGTTGGGTGTGAGTTTGGGGATTATTTTTATTGTCTCTCTTTGAAAATTTAGTTTTTTTTTGGATTTTTTATTTGACAAAAATTACTTTGATTATTAAAAAGTTTAAAATCTTGACAAATAAATTTAAAAATTGAAATTTAGTTATATAAAATACTCAAAATGAATTCTATCGAGATGAAATTAAATTAGTCTATAAAAAAGAATTAATTAAGATACCTAAGAATAACTTATTAATATAGGTTTTTTGAGATTGGCAACTATTAACATTTTTACAATAAAAACACTTTATTTAATATTTTAAAGAACTGATACATCTGTCATTTTTCTTCTTATAATTCTAGTATTACGTGTAATAAAAAAATCAAAGATAAAATTTTATCAAAATTGGTTCATTATCAAAGAATTGATAAAAAAATCAAGATCTATCCATTTAGTTTGAAAAAGATCTATGAAAATTAAAAATAATTAATCAAATGCAACTAGTTACCATACTCTCTTCATACTAGTTTTTAGTAAATCATTTAAATCATGAAAACTGATTGAAAATGAAAGTAAAAAAAAGATTTTTTTTTTTCAAATTGAATGATTTAAAAAAGAAAAGAAAAAAAAAAAAGAAAAAAGAAAAAAGTAAAACTCAAAAAAAAGTACTAAAGGAGACCCAATTAAACTAACTTTCATAATAAATGGCCCAATTTTTTTTATATGTTGTTTACTTTTTTTGATTTTATTTTTAGATTAAAATTAAATATTTCTAGTGGATAGAACTAAATATTAAAATGATAGTTTTTTTATTATCATAGAAAACTTTAATTTATAAAAATATATATTTTCAAAATTTGATTTTCAATGTGCCAATGATTTTGAAATGGAGTTTATTTTGATCTAAAAATTGAAATTTTTAATTTGAGAAGAACAATGAATTAAATCATAGAATATATTCTATTTCTTCAATAAAACTGGGCCCCTTTGAATGAAAAAGAGATTATGATTATCAAAATTTTTCCAAAAAAGGTAGAAAAAAAATTGCACTCGTTTTTTTCTAGAAAATGAGGTGACAAACAAATTACAAGAGAAAAAGCGGAATATGGCAGAGAAACAAACCATTTTCAAAACAATAAAACACAATTTAACTTTTTCCTTCTCTGGGAAGGTTAAAATTATCAAAATCTCTCTGGAAATGTGTTTTTACAACCAAAGATGAAAAAATAATAACTTTTTTTTTCAATCCTTGAAAAATATCTTGATAAAATTTTGATAAGAAAATTTTATATCCGTATTTTACTCAATGATTTGTATATTTTAATGATATTTTTAGAAAAAAAGATTTAGTAAACTTGCAAAAAAAATAATATAAATAAAAGGGAAAACATAAAAAGAAAAAGAAAAAACACGCAAAAGATAATTTCTAAAAATAATTCTTATTCTTAAGAAACAGTTTTAGTGGGCACCCTATCTATAAAATTATAATTTAAAGCTGATCAAAGTTCCCGAATTCATTTGATCTATAACTAGTCTAATATTTTAACACCTTTATTGAAATAAATTATATCAATCGATCCAGAAATTTTCGAAATAAAAGGAAATAACGACCAACATATTCAATACTCTGGAGAAAAAGAGAAGACTTGGACATGTTTTACCTTTTATAAATATTTTCTAGACCCTCTTTTATTTATACTTTTTATTTCGTTTTTTTCTTTTCTTTTTTTTTAAACATTTTTTTCAATTCATTGTTTAAAAAAAATATAATTAATTAAGTTTTATCTATCTACATCAACGAAAGTAAAAAAATGTACAAAAATTTTATTTAGGGTTTTAAAAAGTGTCATCAAGTTCCATAGGGTACCTTAGAGTGACTAGGTTTTCCAGAATTCAAAAGAACAGTGAAAAATCAAAGATTTTACTCTATTCTTTTGAATTCTGGAAAAGCTAATAGCTGTTTTTTTTAATTAAAGAAATGAATAGAAAATTTCTTGAAATTTACATTTAATTTCTCAAATTAAAAAAAAACTAATTACAAATCACAAGATAATTTTTTTGGATCATCTTATTTGAAAAAAATATTAAAAAAAAAAAAAAAAAAAAAAAATGAATTAATATTTAGCTTTTTATATCTTTGAAAATAGAAAAAAAAATCAAAAAGTTTTTTTTAAAAGAGTTTCTTTTGATGTTCAAGAACCGAAAAACAGATATAAAAAAACGACAGGAGCGGGAATCGAACCCGCGCTCCATTCGGAATTTGCTTAGTATAAAAACGCCTTAACCACTCGGCCATCCTGTCGTAAAATAGTTTTACTTAATATAGTCAATATTTATTAATTTAAAATTATGGAATAAGGAAAATTTCCTTATTTAAAGGAAAAAAAAGGATTTTAAAAATCCTTTTTTTTTTAAAATTCTTTTTTCAAGTATGAAAAAACAGTAATCTATGCTACCAAGTAAAGGGGTCAAAAATTAAGAGAATTAAAAATCGAGATTAAAAATCGGAAACAATTAATCATTGCAAGATTGACTTATGGAAGAATTTTTCAAACTCAATCAAACGCAAGTTGTAATTTTTTCGAAAAGAAAAGAAAGAAATTTTATTTCTAAAATAAAAAATTAAAGAACAAATATTTTTTGGTGGCTGAATTGAATGACAAGAAGGTGTGAGGCAACTATAGGCCTTTTAATAAAAAAAAAATATAAAAACAATTAAGGTTTCAAAAATATTGCAAAAAAAATTAAAGATTAAAAAGTGTGGAAAAATAATAATATTTTTTGTATGCCAACAGATCTTGATTTACTTGGAATTTCAAGTGTTTATTATTCCATTACAATTAACTTTTGTCATTGAAATTTTTTTACTGGATTTTTTTTCTCAATTTGTTTAAGGGACTAGTCTTCTCTGACAACAAGGCAAAATTTTAAAATATGTTATTGGCGGTATTCTCTACTTTCGTATTTTGTAGATCCCATGAGTTTAAAAATTCTCTTCGATTAAGAAAGCCAGAAAAGATAATTAGTTTAGTGAGATCAATTTTTTTTTTCCATTTTTTCCGAAAAAGAAAACTATTAAATTCATTTTATTTCTTACAATTTAACAAGTTTTTACACCTTTTATTGCCGTTTTGATCATTATTATACTATACCATTTCTTTGTTACCAGTAATATTAATATAAAGATTTTTTTTCTTTTTTGAGATAAAACTTTTGGTTAACCAAAAAAATTGATATATTTAACGGATTAAAAAATAATTGTATTTTTTTAAGAAGAATAGTTATAATAATCAAAAATTTGTGGTCATTTAAAAATTTAACACAGAAATTTTGTTTTTGTTTTAAGATGAAATTTGATTTTTCAAAATAAAATTTTCTTGAAGATATTTGGGAATTAGTTAATTTTATCCACAAAATTCAAAATCATTTTTTTTCTGCCAAAAATGATTTTAATTGCTATAAGGATTCTTGTGAATAAGACCAAACAATTTGTTGAAAATTTTTTTGCAATTTTTTTTCATTTTTTGAAAACCAGAAAACAACTTTTTTAAAACATTAAAGAAAAAAATTTTTTTTGCAGAATAGATCTCAATTTAATTGATAAACTGTACTTAAGCTTCTACTGAATATTAATTTATTGAATCACCCAAAATACAAATAGTTTTAATGGCTAAGATTTGAATTGAAATATTAATCAAAGAAAAAGAAACCAAATAAAAAATTTGCTTTCGAAATCAATACTTTCCAAAATAAAACGAAAAATATGTTTTCCCATTTTCAAGAATTAACTTAATTCTTAAACAAAATAATAGGATACTTTTTTTCGTTTTATATTGGAAAGATGCAAATTTTGAATTTCAAAAAGGAGACTCAAATCAATAAATTGTTCAAATAAGGTTAACTCATCCATTTCATAAATCTAAACACAAATTACAAAAAAAAAAATTTTCAAGATCTTTACAAGATTTCATTTTATTTTCAAAAATGACCACCCCCTTAAATTTTTTTTCTTTATATTTTTCTTTATTTTTTTATTCTTTTTTCTTGTTTTTCTTTTTTTACTTATTTTTTTTTAGATTAATAATTGAAAAGAACTTTCCAAAAAAGTGAAAAAAAAAATCGCAATACTTGGGAGTTTTTTTTTTATACCTATTAGGTTCTTTAAATTCTTATCATCTATTATCTTATCCAATGGACCGATAAACGCCGACCAATGAAAGGTACATGATTAAAATATGATCTTTTTGATTATATAACAATTTAATGATATTGTATATACATATCTTCAAATCCAATATAGAAAATTATAATAAGAGTTCGATCTTGCTAAAGTAAATTGACCCTTACAAATAGTTAACGAAAAGAAAACCCAATAATTTTAAAAATAAAATTATAATTAGAGAAAAATTTAAAGATTGAACCAACAATATTCAGACTCTAAAGTTGAAAAATATCTTTCCTAGATTTCTACTAAAATATAAGGTAGTTACTCAAAAATTTGATTTTTTTCAAAAATCAAATCATTAACAAAATTGATATTCTTTTGACCAATTATTTTTTACACATATTGTAAATATATTGATATCACAACTAGCCTTAGAAAATGGAAACATAAAATAATCATTCATTTGGGTTTTATTTATTGATGATTATTGAGTTAAATCTTGAAAAATTAAAAAATCTCAAAAATCTTTACTTTTTTAAGACTCAAAATATGAATTATTAAAGACTAGAATACTATTATTTTAAGGTTTTCTATCTTTAGGTTTGGAAGAATTAAACAAAAAAATTTTTCAAAATATAAATTTTTATTGTGATCTTTCCTTAAAAATGAAATAATTTCTTGTCTAATACTATTTAAAATAAATTTTTTAGTGATATTTGAACCATTTATCTCTTAGATCATTTTACAATCTAATTTCTTCATACTTTAATTTTTTAGAGAATTTAGAGAGAGGTTAACACTCTATATAGATCTGATCCTTTTAGTTTGAATTTGAACTCTGTTTTTACCCTTTTTTTTATCAAAAACAAGTTTACTTCTTCTTTTCATGGTAACGCTTTTTTAAGAAAGCAAGTAACTTTTATTAATTTTGAGAACCATATTCATTCACAATAATGTAATAGCAAAAATCATTTCTTTTAATAAAAAAAAATCATTTTTAATAATTACTAGAGTGGAATATATCCTAGTATAATATATTGAAAAAGCAAATAAAAAAAGGAAAATAAAAATAATTATAAAATCTGTAAAGAAAAAATTAAAACTATATCATTTTTTTATTGATCTTTTCTGAAAAATTTGATAAAATTACTTATTCTTTACTAAATTTTATTTTTAATTCTTCAAGAAAGTACTTATACATAAAAAATATTGAAGAAACAAATTTTAGTGAATGAAAATATTTATCAACTGAGTAAAATTTTATCTCTTTTTTTCTTTTTGTTCAGTTGAAATATCCAATTTACCATCTAATAGTATGCCCAAATACAACTCAATTTTAGAGATAAACTCCTTGATTTTTTTAAAGTAAATTTTAAATAATGTATGATATTGTATAAAATAGTTAATAAATTTCTATATTTTTATAATATTCACTTTTTTTTTTTTTTTTTTTTTTGGAAAAGTAATTAATTTGAACTCTTCTATTTACTCTATTTTTTGATAGATAAATCTATTTGATATGAAACCATATTGTTTGAATTTATTTTAAAATAATAAAATATTAACAAAATAATATAAGTCAAATTTCAAAATTAGGGGTAAACTTTTTTATTATTATTTTTTTCTTTTTTCGTTTGTCTTTCTAAAAATACAATGATCATACAATATTTTTATTTATTAATCTATATTGGCTATTGTCTCTAAAAAAAATAGTAAAATATCTTATTATTCAAAAAAAAAGAAAAACAATTTTTTTTCTGATGAAAAATCTGCCCCTATTTTTGAAATTAAGCTTAATGCATATTATTTATTGTTTTGTATTTTATTTTACTTATTATTATTTTTTTTTTTTCAGTTATTTGGAAAAGCTTTTTATAATCAGTTCCATTTTTAAAATATAAACTTTCAAGGAAATTTAACAGATAAAAATCCTCAAATTAAAGTACATTGTTTTTTATACAAATTATTTTACTAGAATTTGAATTTTGTACTGTAATTTGAGAATTTATTGTGCCTTAAATATCTTTGAAAGTTTAGGTCTTATAAAGGGAACTGAATGTATTTTGAAAAACAAATACAATAGGCCTATATTGATTATTTAAACAATATAATTATAGAATAAAGTTTTGAAAAGATATATTAATAATGAATAACAACCTGGGAAAAATAAAGGCAATCTCATGTTTAATCTTTCATAAAATAAAATTCAAAATTTTACACACAAATAAAATGTTACAAAGAATCACATTATTACAATTTCATTCAAATTGGATATAATTTTGATTTTTGAAAAATAATGAAAATCATTTTTTTATTTTTTTCTTTTCAAATCCTTTTTTGAATTACGTAACTTTTTTCTTTCTATTAAATTTTTTTTCAAGGATTGATATTCGGTCAAAGTTGAATTGTTCAAAATAGAAGAACTTGAATAAAATTAGTTCATGGTATCTAAACTTTTGATCGATCAATAATACTAATAGAATTTTAACACATTTAACAATATATTTTTTTGTTCTACTCTCTCCAAAATTTTTAACATACCGATAATTTATTTGTATTGATAATTATTTATTTTTTGTTTTGTGAGTTTTGTAATTTTTTTAAAACAACTGTGAACTTTTCAATTAGTTAATCGTTCTAATTTGGTATTTATTCAGGAATTTATTATATAAGTTTTTGTTTTTTTTTGAAAAATTAGATTTTGGTGTGTTAAAAACTTTGAATTAGAGTTTAATTTACAAATTATATAAAAATTGATATTATGTTGTTTATGATAAAAATAAATTAACAACTAAATTTTACTTTTTGTAACAAAAATCAGTCTAATGTATCAATCATTGAAGATATTAAGTCTTTTTTGTGACTGTACAATCTATTAAGGAAATCAAAAAAATTAATTCAAATAATGAAATATAATAAAAAATTGTAGAATAATATCTTTGGTATTATTCAGAATAAAGGCACATTATTTATCTTGTAATTAGTCAATGAAAAGGAAATTTCTAAACAAAAAATTAAGGAATTAAATAATTTTGATAGGTAAATTCTCTTAATTTTTCCGATAAACATTAAAAATCAAGAAAAAACTAAAGTCGTTTTTTTTTTTTAACTTTGAGAAATTAAAAGAAAATTTCTGA